TGTAGTTCCTTTTTGGGGTTTACCTTTTCCGATCCTTAGTAGTAAGATTGGTTAAACCAAAAACAGGAACTACGATGGAGACCATAGGTACGGGTTCGTGGGAAACTTACCCTAAACCCTAAACCCTAAACCCTAAAACCCTAAACCCTAAAACCCTAAAGCCCTAAAGCCCTAAACCCTAAAACCCTAAAACCCTAAAAGCCTAAAGCCCTAAACCGTCGGGAGTCCCTGGGAACCCGCCACCAGCGAGGCGCCCTGCCCGGCGCCGAACGTGCCTGGGACAGAATCGGCCCCCCATAAGGGAGTCTCCGAAAATTAGGGTTTAGGGTTTAGGGTTTAGGGTATAGATATATGGGAGTCTCCGAAAATTAGGGGTACCTTATTTTGGGGTCCTTATAATGAGGATCCTACTATTTAGGGTACTATATATCAGGGTCCCCTGTTGTCGGAAACTCCCATAAGGACCCGGATGGCTCCGACCCTGTTTCGGGTTTACTTACCCACGTATCTCCAACCCCAAAGCCCAGAGGCTGTCTTTGATAGCGGTGTCGATTGGCGAATGGACGGAGACGATTGAAATGATTATTCTTTACTTTGGTTCCCACAGAGACAGCAAGGGACCCTCAGCTTGACCTTCCTGAGCGCAGCCTCTAGAGATTATTTTTTTGTTTGGGTGCTGCTCCTCTTTGCAGGGTTCGTCAAAGCACTAGTTCTCTTTGCTTAGCTTCTGAGAGGGTAGAGCCAAAGATAGACGACCCTTTGATTGCAAGGATGCTCAGTGTGAACACCCCGAGAAAAGGGATTCCCGAAAGGTGAGAGACCCCTGTATGCTCCCCATTCATTCGTGAGCCCAGCCCCCTCAACCACAGCACGTAGGTTTAGACTTCCGAAGCCATGAGAAAAAGCCTCAAAAAGGGGTAGCCGAGTAATTTGGTGTTCCGTTCTCTCGGTTTACATTTTGGAGGGCTCTGAGTCCTCATAAGGATCCGAGGATGCCTCCTACGGTTTAGGATATGTGTAAACTTGGGCTTTCTTGGCGACACGTAGACCGACCCAAATGGAGACTTGTCCTGCTGGATTATGAAAGCTCGCAGCCTTGACGTGACCGGGCGCCTCAAACCCCAAGCGGAAACAGCCGAACCAGTTGCTGCATGCGCGTCGACACTTGGGTCGAGAGCTTCTATGATCACGGTCGCGAGATGGAGACAGAAAGAGGCAAAACCAGAGGCAGAGAGAGAGAGAGAAGGACATAAAGTGAGTGAGTGAGTGAGTGAGTGAGTGAGTGAGTGAGTGAGTGAGTGAGTGAGTGAGAGTCTTTACATGCACATCCGTACCTGCATTTAGGTGCACCCGCACGCACACCAAAATGCCTATGGAACACAGAAACAGACGCTCCAATTCTGCTGAATCTTCAGGTTTTCAATGCCAACCAGATCTGCAAGGAGGGCACGCCCATACTGCACGGCAGGTCCTGTACGACTCAGTGCAATGTCGCTGGGCTGGTTTTCTCACTCCTTTGAAGAAGCTTCTACGGCTCACACTACGATTACAGCCTTCCTATGCCTCTCCGGGTTCTAAGAAAGTCAGGTGATCCGGATGTGACTTTGGCGATCAAAAGCAGTCAGACGGAAGTTCACACCCCGCAGTCCCAGGCCATCGATACAGTAAGAGCCCAGTACAGAGGCTCCGTTTTCTGGTCTCACCGTTCTGATTGAGTTAATGTAGGGCTCTGAATAATTGCTAGTAGCATCCCGGCTAATAAAAAATATACTGCAGCCCCAGAAACCCTAATCATGAAGGCCCTTACGTCACAGGTGTTAGTTTAACGCTCCAGCCAAGCCTGAGCCCTCCATCTGATGTGGGCCTCCGTGCCCTTGAGGCTTCTTCATGAAGCCTGAAACCCCAAAACCCGAAGACCCTAACCTAAACCCTCAGGGCCTAGGGCCTAGGGTTGTTGAGGGCGTTAAGCTTAGCCTGCACACATGGATGTTTTGCTCCCAGCAGGGCCGTCATTGATCCTCACTTCCAAAAGCCGAGGATTCTACAGCAAACACCCAAACCACCAGAGCATCATGAAACCTTGCAAAGGCTACAGTACCTCTGCAGGATCCTACTACGATTCTTTGCATTCGTGGTAGCAGCCTCCCATCCTCGTCGGAAGACCCTTGAGGCAAGGGAGTTGAGTCCTAGTCAGAGGCTTCGTAGACTTACCCAGATGCTGCATGTAGATCAAATACCCATGCCGCTGCGCATTCTGGAAGTACTTTTGTGGGTAGGTTCTTTTATCATCAAGTTTCCATAGTCGGGGGAGGTTGACTAATCGGAGGATCGGATTGTAGATGCACTCCCTTAACGTCTTCCGGTTTTTCTTGCGATAATCTCACCTGGAACCTTCATGCAAGTTCGCGACTTGTAGAATCACCCAGGCCGGCTACCAGCCGAACAAGGGCACCCTGGAGTGCAACGACGGGGTCTTGCAGCGCGCTTGCAATCCAAATCCCTGGGTCGAATACAGAAGCCTGAACGACAGCCCATAACCTTCCAAGAGAGAATGTCCTATGCTCGCCCATTGTCCTCCAGCCTTACCCTAAGCGTTTAAACCCTCCACAATAGCAATTGCCTTTATCCTTCAACGACCGACCCTAAACCCTAAACCATGCCCTAAACCGACCCGAAACCTTGAGCTACGAGGACGGGCGGTCCCGTCTTCTGCTCGTGGCTTGGCAACAGGTCGAAGCGTGAAGGGGCAAGGGATTTGCTGTTTGGTTCATAGCGACTGCTGCGGGTTGTGCGAATAAGGGCCTTGTGTTTTTTGTGCTGGGTATAGCCCCCTGGCTTTTCAATGCCCTGAAGTTCCTTGAAGCATAACATTTTTTGGCGATGACAAATTATAGTGTCAGGGTCGCAAGCTCGGTTGGAGAGGATTCAGGGCTAGAGTTCACAGATGTTCAAGGCGATTGTGATTACCATGTTCGCTCTCAGTGACTCAGCGACCCGCATGGCCCGAGATCATTCGCGCAGATTCTTTCAGGGATCTTTGGGTCGGCCAGTGTCAAGGCAGTCTCGCAATTCGCTGCATTGCTGGAGTCAGCTTGACGGTTCGGCTAACTTTTTTTTGCGGATTTCGTGCTGTGCGGCCGACGATTATGTTGTACTGGCATAGGTTCAAATTTCAGTGTATCCACCAAACAGGGCTTCGGTTACTTGGGCCGTACCAACCCCTGGGGAACTACCCGCATTGGACCGATACATCTACGTTCTACGGCGCTACGGTTTAGAAGCTTCAATCCTAAACCCTGAAACCCTGAAACCCTAAACCCTGAAACCCTGAATCCCTAAAACCCTGTTCTTAATTAAGGCTTCCTATTCGGGCCTGGGATATCTTCTCCAAGAGCACTTTGGGAGTGCCCGTCGGCCTAGGAGTCCTACGCATCCTTCTAGCCTGGACTCGAAAGTAGCAAGAGCCTACACTATATTCTACTGCTACTGCTACTGCTACTACTACTACTACTACTACGACTACTACTACTACTACTACTACTACTACTACTGCTACTACTACTCGGGGTTGAAAGGGGTTGTAATAATAGAACTCTAAGTAATGAGTGCTACTATTATGCTTTTATTGCTGCATGTAGCGGCTTGTATAGCTGATACTGCTATTCCTTAGAGCCTTAGAGTAGGGCTTTCTGAATTTTTCCACCATATAAAAGCCACCAGCGCCGTAGTCTAGTTACTTAGGCTCACATACTACCAAATTTGGGTGACTCTTCATCGGCTGTATGCCTTAACCCTGCGTTCTAAGTCTTTCCTAAATCCGTAATCCAAACCCGTGCTGAAGAATAGAAAGCTTGACAGTAATGGAACTTTGTGGAGTATGCGCCGGAATCCAGGAGTGGCTGAAGTTACTCAAAAAATCCATCGTAATCATCACCATGGCAGTTGACTGCAGAAAGACTATCATGAGGTCTGCCCCGCCACCCGTGGGCGGTAACTTCTTCAACTGTTGGACCGGAGACCCACACTTCGTGTGCCGCAACCAAGTTGCAGAAGTCGGGTTGCTCTAGGGATTTATGCATGGATTTTGAGTGGGAAGTGTGGTAGGACCGTTCAAGCTCTCGTACTCTCAAACTATACTACCCTGATTCGATCCTTCGTCCCACAGCAAGGAGGGCTTGGGCCGCTTCGGGCATTTCATGTGCATCGGTCATGATTCGTGGCGTACCAACCCGGTAATATCCGTTCGTGTTCGTGTCACAGTAAGCTGATTTAACACATGGTGGGGGGACCCCTGCAACGCTGCTGTTGCTGATGTCGTGACTACGGCAGACCATCACGGAGTGATGGTGGTGGGGTTAGTTGTGGTAGTGCTGGATGGCGGAAAAGCTGCGCATGTAGTTGGTGAGCGTCATGCGTGCAATGACGGTACCAAAAGAAGATGCGTGCTGTTTCTTCTCCCGCTCTCACTATCGCTTCATCTGGAAACTCTTCGGCAGTCAGAAGTCTTTGCATAGCCCGCTAGAAGCAGCTCACGTCCTATGAAATAAGTCAGAAGCCGTTTCCAGTAGTTCACAACTCAAATTATGGCACGATTAAATCCCTCAAGCTACAACCTGAGTTTTGACAAATTTGAAGACCAGATCATCACCCGCACATGCCTCGCCCTTCACAGGCAACGGGAAGCGGACGGACCCCCTGGTGCCGGGAACACACTGGGTGTTCAAACAGCGCCATGGCTGATCACCAGTTCCTTCTGCGATTTAGGGATATGCAGGCGCATTCCTTAGCTGTGCCGTGGACAAACCTGCAGCTTTCCGAAACACCCAAATACCATATTGCCATCTGAACCCAAAGTTGGAGAGTCAAGATCGTGAGGATGATGTAAGTGATGAGCAGCTTGTCGGCTGAGGAGGGAGAGTGGACTGGCGTTGTCAGTCTGTCCCCTAAACCCTAAACCCTAAACCCTAAACCCTAAACCCTAAACCCTAAAACCCTAAAACCCTAAACCTCTCTGATTTCGGAAGCTTGATTAGCTTGTCTCGAACCGGCGACGCCGGCGAGGCTACTGGGTTCTTCAACTCATGCATAAGGCATAATGGATGTAGCAGTGCACCCGCTCCAAGGCTTCGGATTACGGGCTTTATGGGATTATAGCATCATGTCAACCGCCATACCGCAAGGCCGCAGATACGCCCTTGACGCCCCAAAGCCTCCCAGACCCAAACCCAAGCAGCCCAAGAGCTTCAAAGGAATCCCCGACAGCTTCGAAGGTTTTCGAGTTGTGGGTTTGCGGGGTCGTTCCGGCTTGCCATGAAGAGCCTGAAAATTTTTCAACCCCAGACCGGAAGTCCATACCCCAAAACCCATAAGCGGTTGAGCACAGAAACTCACTTTACATCCAACAATCCCCAGTCCCTAGACCTACTCCCGAAACCTAAACCTTGTAAACCCTGAAGCCTACATTCGCTGAACTCAGGGGCCCTATAGTCCCTACACCGAAGTGTCTTCTTCATCCCAGGTCCTGTCCCGGCAGCCCGAACTTCATGCTGCCCGTCGAATGCTAACCGGGCTTCGGGCGGTACCCTTCGGACGAGAGGATGACAAAGATGTCCGAATCATTGCCACTAATATTCCCGAAGGTGTCTTAATATACCTAGATTTGTATATATATATATATATATATCTCCCAGAATCCGACAATAGCCTTTGGTGGATTTGGTATTTGGGCTCTCTGACATGTTGTTGTTGTTGTTGGGCTTGCTGATTGGGGTGTCGCTCAACTCTCGGGCTCCGACCACATTGCTCACCACATGGGCACAAGTAATGTAAAATCCTGATATATGGCACCTTTGCTCTGAGAAAAGATGAAAGAGTACAAGGCGGCAAAGAAATCGGTGGTCTACACAATATTTGGCACTATGCCGCTTCTAATTCTGATCGGCGGAGTCTAGGTCCACAGAAGCTGCCTGAACCAGCCGAAGCAGTAGCTATTGTGCAGAGTATAAAGATATATTCGTCCCCGTGGTCTTACTTTTCAGTATCTTTTGAGCCAAAGTTTGTTTTGCATGACGGGCCCCCTGACAGTTCCAAACTGCTTTCAACCTTCCCGTGTACGCAGACATGAGTTTGTTCTGAAATTCTGAAAAAGGTGTACCTTGCTTGGGCTTTTGTAGACAGTATGGGTGTTTTTTGGGGGTGTAGATCAGGATGATGTAAAGCTCTCGTATGCCGACTTGGAGACTCAGGTTTTTGGATATGCGCTACTTTATTGTGGAGTGTGATCAAAAGCTGCGGCGGTATCCAGAAATCTAGGGGCGTTGGAAGATCTGGATACTTCAACTCTTGAAGAACTCTAGCATAGACTTGGATATACCTAGAGTCACGTCCCCCGAAAAAATCCTGTGCTGTTCGTTCCTATGAGCCAAGTCATTTGTGTTCGCGGACCTGAGGCTCAAGGGTCAACACCTTTTAAGGGCTTAGGGTTTAGGGTTTAGGGTTTAGGGCTCAAGGGTCAACGCCTTAGGGTTTAGGGTTTAGGGCTTAGGGGGAGCACGCGAAGCCCTGAAGCCCAAGCAATTCCGGGAAGAGCCTGCCTTCCATGCGCAAGGTGGGTGCAGGGCCTCTTCGGACCGAGGTGGGCCGGGATTCTCTGGGTACATGTGGAGGGGAGATAAGGGCAGAACTCCCAGGCGCATGAACCTGTAAGAAGACTTGCCTGAAGTCAAAAAAATGAAGCCATCCGTAAGCAGGGCAGAAGCCTCACAAACACTGATGGTATGCTCCGGTAGCAGGCCCCCAAACGACGATCCACCTGCGGGGGCTCTTCGGGTCGTCAAATGGGACTACCCTGAACAAATCAGAGAAACATAAAACAGTGTCTAGGGTTAAAGCATCAAACCCAATATAGACCCCTTATAAGATTCTCATGGATCCCTTATACATCCTTTTGGATCCCTGATAGAGACCCCGCCCCATCAGATCCGGCATCTTTGTGTCGTAATCTTGGCTGCTCCTCACAGCTTCTAGGCCTGAAAAGTTGTCAAGGAAATCACCAAGGAGGATTCAGGGTTTGCTGCACGAAGGTCACTTTTTTTTTAACACAGTATTGACACCTACCCCTGCCAATCGTCTGGGAGTAATAAAGGGGGCCTTAATAATGATTATAATTATAGTATCATATACACCAAAACCCTCTTCCAATTATTGAGGCTTCATGTCTGGGTGGGTTTCCAGAGTTCCCTAAGCCAAGAACCGGAAGGCAGGTCATTTCTTTCCCAAGCCATCGACCCTGAATCTCATAGCTTAGCGCTTCAGTTCTCACTGCAGAGGTCGTGTCCACTGAGTTTTGAGCGCTCCTTCAACGTCTAAACCCCAAACACTTCTTCATGGCACAGGCGTCCAAGCTGCACTCTTGGCACAGCATTTGGTGGCAACTTTCTGGGAATGAAGCCCGGCTTAGCTGCGCATGAGGGTCTATAGGGTTCAGGGTAAGAGTTGTCATGAGTTGGAGCTTGCGTGCAATTATGGTTTTCGTCATTGGGGTTTTCGGCTGGGTTATGTTGTTGTCCAGGAAGATGACCGACTGGCTTTCTTGCAGTAAGCTTGGGAAGTCATTGACGACCTGAAGACGTTAGCTTATTGGGCTTCGTTAGAGTATGTGAGGGTTCTTGTTACAGGTTGATACGGTTACGTTTAAGAAAGGGTTAAGACTGTCCCCTGAATCCTAGTCCATAAGCGCCAAACTCTCAAGCCTGGACCCTCTAAGCCTAGACTCCTAAACCGACGCTTGCGTGCTCCGCTCAGGAATGTTTTGACCATCCGCCTCTCGGGCTGCACAGCGCCGAAAAGCCGCCCTTGAAGGGGGGGCGGGGGGGGGGGGGGGCCTGAAACACTACCAAGATTATCCAACTGAAATCAAAGGTATACTTTAGTCTTCTATAGCCATAAGATAAGACGAAACGGTATACATACATCTGTATATGAATATCTCTCTCTCTCTCTATATAT